CAAGTTTTTAGGTGGACATTTTTATATCTTTTTAAGGTATGCGGCAGACTTGCTGGGTCATATATAAGTCTCTGCTTATATTTGGGAGAACTGCCAAACTGTCTTCCAAAGTGGCCACAATTTTACCTTCCCGCTAGCATTGTATGAGAGGTCCAGTATATACCAGCACTTATTAATGACTCTTTCTTATGTCGCCATCCTGTCCATCATAAAGTGGTACCCTGTGATTTTGGTTCAATTTCCCTAATACCTAGTGATGTTGACTATATTTTAAAATGTTTATTGGTCACTATTTGTATATTTTCTTTGGAGAAATATCTGTTCATATACTTTGTATTTTAGTTGGGTTATTTGTCTTCTTATGGTTGGGTTGTAAGGGCTCATTATGTAGTCTGAATATAAGTCCTTTATATGTATGATTGCAAGTATTTCTCCCATTCCATGAGAATTTCTCTTCTCACCGTGATTATGTCCCTTGAGCCACATTTTTTTTTTTTTGGTAAAGTCTGATTTATTTTGTTCTTTCGTCATTTATGCTTTTGGTGTCATGTCTAAGAAGACATCCTTCTATTTGAGTTAATTTTTGTATATGAGATGTAGGAGTCTAGTTTAATTCTTTTGCTGATTGATCTAGTTGTCTGAGCACCATTTCTTGAAAAAGCTGTTCTTTCCCTCATTGAATTGTTGTGGCACCTTGTTGAAATCAGTTAACTATAATTATTAAAGCTTCTTTCTATATACTCAATTCTTTTCCACTGCCCAGTATATCCTTGTGCTCTTACCACACTATTGATTACTGTGGCTTTCCAATACATTTTTAAATCAAAAAGTATGACCTCCTCCAAATTTATCCTTCCTCAAATTTACTTTGAGTATTTCAAGTTCCTTGAATTTCCATATGAATTTTAGGGTTATTTCATTTATTACTGCAAGTAGACAGCTGGGATTTTGATAGGGATTGATTGAAAATATATATTGAAAATATGTATTCATTTTGATGCTTTTCTAATTTCCTAATTTCCTTTTTAGTATTACAGTATTTCCACATAACTATTTCTATTTCTATAAAGTTGATGGTGATGTCTTCTCTTTTAGTCTTGATTTTAGTATTTTTAATATTTTCTCTTGGCCAAACTAGCTAACGTTTTGTCAATTTGGTTATCTTTTCGAAGAACCAGCTTTTGGTTCCACTGGTTTTCTCTGTTGTTTTTCCATCTCTGTTTACTTATTTTGGCTCTAAGATTTATTTTTCCTTTCATTTGCTTGATTTGGGTTTAATTTGCTCTTCTTTTTGCTAGTCACTTAAAGTAGAAGTTAGGTTATTGATTTAAATGATTGTTCTTTTCTAATTTCGTGTTTACAAGTTCCTAAGCACTGCTTTAGCTGCATCTCACAAAACATTGGTATGTTGTGCTTTCCTTTTTATTCATCTCAGAGTTTTTTTCTTAATTTTCCTTGTGATTTCATTGACCCATTGGCTACTGAGGAATGCCTTTTGTTTTTTATATGTCTTATTTACTAAATACTCATCAAAGTGTTCTACAATAGAATTCTGTGACTTAGTCCCTGGTGGCTACTTTCTAAAAAATCTTGACTGGATCTAGTTTTAGCTTGTCTCAAAGGAGAAAGTATTAAAAACAGGCACTTAACTCAAAAGTAGAACATTTGTTTTTACTTATAATTAGAGTAACATTTTTAATAGATATGAGACAGTCTGAGTATTACAGAAGCTATACTGAAACCTAACGTCTCTGATATCCTACCTTTATGAAATAATTTCTCTGTGTGTAGGGTTAAAAAAGAAAGAAAGAAAGAGCTAGCAGGTTTTTTTTCATAGTCGCTGGGAAGGAAGGCAGGTCTCCCGAGTGTTTCCATTAGGGTCATCTATGTCTAGCTCACAAATGTGTTTTGGGTGGGAAAAAGAAGTAAAATGGGGTCCTTCCTGATAGTGCAAGAGGTTAAGTCTCAGCACGATGAAGCTGTCAGAAGCCACTGCAGCTCAAGTTTGATCCCCAGCCAGGGAGCTGACCCACATGGCGCAGCAGACCGCTCCTGTCTCGCCAGCTGCTCCCCGCTGTAGTGTATTTTGGTAGGTCCATCTGTTCTGCTCCCCATTGTGTTTCTGGTGAACCTTCTCACTCCCCGCACCTCTGGCCTGTACTTCAGTTCTTGTGTGCATAAATAAATAAATCTTATTTTAAAAAAAAGGAGTAAAATAGACAGCACATAAAGTGGTACATCACTTTAAAGACAGCTGAATTTTCATATGATCCTATGTCAATAGAAATAAAATTAGAACAGGGAAAAAGTTAAATCTTTTCTCATAGTTTTATTTGGAGTTTGTGTTGATGCATAAAAAATCAGTGTTTGTATTTAGCCATATTAATCTGCTTCTTTCCAGAAGAAGTAGGAGGTAAAAGCAAGCGGACTGACCATGTAGTTTTCATTAAGTTTGTGAAAACTTTATGAGACATTGGTAAGAATGACTTTTGTTCCAGAGATGTTTAAGGAATTTGTGAGGTTGATTTCAGTTTTAGTTGGCAGTTCTTAGTTTCTAAGTAACTTCCTCTGTCCATCTCGTAATCTTTATGGTTTACAAAATACATAAAGTTCAGTATACTTGTAAACTAACCCATACTTGTATAATCTTTTTTCTTTACAAAATGTTCTCATATATTATTATACTTAAGATGTACAATAACCCTGTGGTATACTTGGCTCTCGAAACTGGTATACTAATCAGATTTTAGCTGGTACCAAAAGCCAAAATTTCAGTCTAGTCCTGAGGAAAAAAATTAAGTTAGAGAAGTGGTAGTTATGTGGTTTTAAGTGTAATTTCACAGGAGATGACATAAAACATAGGTTTTATGTTTTATAGATTCATTTACTTTGCCTTTCTAGTAAAAAAGAAAGGAATAAAATAGTTTCAATTTAAATATTTTGCTACCTTGAAAACTAAACAAAGGATTATAACTTTTGCTTATTATTATGACCATGCCAGGCTTGTTTCAAAAAAATCAGTGAAGTCTGTGAAGTACCCTGTGTTCTTTTTCTAACTTCTCAAAGACAGCCACCCCTGAATTAATTAAAAGCAGCAGTGTACAAAAGTATTGGATTATAGTGTTGTATGATTGATGACTCATTTTACTCCATAAAGAATGTGTTTGATTACCACTTGTTTCACTATAGACATGATTTTATGCTTTAATGTATTGCTTTTTTTTTAAATTGCAGCAATAGCAAGTGCACTTTAACAGGGTGATTTCAAGATGTTCTATTCAACTTGTACAACTGATATGTTTAAAATTTAACCCATATTGCTATTTGGATCAAGTAGTCATCCTGCAATTTCTCATCAACTGTTTGGTTCTGAGGAACAGTTTCTTGACTTGTCTATGATTATCTGGGATTAAAAACATGAGAATGAAGATTAGAAAAGCTTTGAAAGACCAGCTTTTGAAAACTTGAACCTAGTTTGGGAGCAGTACTGCAACAGCTAACTTAAGATGATGGTAGAAAGGGAGGACTCTTTTCCAGGACTTTAGAATATTCTGTCTCATTTCAGAGACACGCTATACGATGCTGGATGCAATGGTTAGCTATCCTGTTGTGACAGAGGGTCTGGTAAATGTAGCTAATTCACATTTAAAGTTTGGTTTTCATGCCCTTTCTACCCATGGTAGTTTAATGATTTCATAGTTATAGGATACTGGTAATTCTTGGTGTATGATATTAATAGTGATTTCAAACAAACCAACCAGAGTTTTCTTTATCAAATATTGACCTTTTGAATTTTGTTACTGGAAGAGTTTACATTTATTCCAGTGATTTGCCAGTGTTGCATTTTACATTTCTCTTCAGAATTTCTTTAAAGCTTCAGTACTATTTCTCCTGAATTTATGACATGTTTTTTCTCTGAGGTTGGTTTTCAGAAAAAAAACTAGACTTGATTCAGAATCTGGTTAGATATGTGTCACTCTAAGTAATGAGGTATACTGTGATATAACTGATAAAAAAAAAAAAAAACTGGTTCCAAAAGCATTTCCAGAAAAGCTTGTTTATTGGAGTAAATTTACGCCTTTCAAAGTGACTGCTTTAAGGATGTTTATTTGGTGTACAAGATCAGATTCAAGCATTTAAAAATTCATCATCTTTACCTCATCTTGTATAAGAACTTGGTGAGACTCCAAAGCTAAACAGTAGAGAATATTAAATGACTTTGCCAGTCACCCCCCAAATTGTGCCCACACAGGTGAATGAATAATAGGAACATTGACACCAGTGGAAGCAGGTAGAAATCTCCTGAGGTATCTGGGCTATAACTATAGATTTCCAAAGGCAGGAGAGAATTTTCCTGAAGAGCCTTCCTGCATGTTCCTTTGGACTCAGTAAATTTGAAGAGGGAATTTATAGCCAAATTGCTAAAAGACATACGCATACATACACAACTTTATATACATGTTTTATATTTGTCCTAATTATAAACATTTAAAAACAGTAGGAAATACAGATGAGAAAAAAACTATATCACACCTATCAGAGAAATCCTCATTGATCTTCTGGAAACATCCTTTCTTCTGTGTTGTTTTACAGCATTGAGAGCATACTGAACTTGAAACTTTGAATATTGTGTGTGTTTTTTTTTCTTACCATTTTATTTTACTTATTTTCTCAAGTCAATAAAAATTCTCAGGGACAAAGTATTTAGTAACAGTCTGTAAGTTTTTATTACCCAGCAATATAACGCTTACTATTAAACAATTTTAAGTTCATTTTTGAAGAAATAATGAAAACTTATATTTTTTCTCCTTTTCATGGTATCAAAAGTATCAGAAAAGAAAGCTACGAAGCAGTCTCTTATGGCATGTGATGGAGTTATGATTTCCTTAGGTCAATAAGCTTCATTCGTTTCAAATGTTTCTTTTGTTAATAAGAGACTTGGTCACTTTCCTAGACACAGAACTAAGGGGGGATATTATTTCTTATTTTTCTTGCTGTAGGTGGTCGGAGGCAAGGTAAAGAAGCCTGGTAAACGTGGTCGCAAGCCAGCCAAAATCGACTTAAAGGCAAAACTTGAGAGAAGCCGGCAAAGTGCAAGAGAATGCCGGGCCAGAAAAAAACTGAGGTATCAGTATTTGGAAGAGTTGGTATCCAGTCGGGAAAGAGCCATATGTGCCCTCAGAGAGGAACTGGAAATGGTAAGAAAATCTGTCAGTAAACATGGGAAGAAATTAGCCTCGACTTAATGATCAAAGAAATATACACTAAAATGCAGATACCAATTTTCACCTATTCAGTTGCAAACCTACAAAATACTAATTCACCAGCCAAGATATAAACAACCCATTTTTGTAACTGTTGTTGGGAGCAAAATGTACATGAGGGATTGTTTCATGCTAGAAAAAAGAGAAAGTAACTCAAATACACAGCAATAAGGGATTGGTTAAGTAACTTATACCACATTCAGTGAACTCCTTTGCAATCATATTTGCCAACACAGAAGAGCATTTCCAACAAGCATAAACAAAAAGAAACATAACTAAATGTAACTATGCATAATTTGTGTTTCAGCATATTTAGTTATTTGGCATGTTTCATTCATTCACTTATTCAGATTTTGGGTAGTGATCATAGCAGTGTGAAAGAGATTAGAAACCCCATTACTGTGAGCTCAGGGAGAAAGTGGCAGGGAACAGGGAGAGATGTCACTGCAGTGATCATTATAAAACTGAAACAAGTTACCTTAGGTTTTGAGAAGAAAATAAGGGAGGGGTATGAAGAGAGTCCAGATACACACTCTTCAGCAATTGTTGTTCTCTTTTTAACACATTGAATTTGACTTATGCTAGAAATCACTTTTCACCTTCTGCAATGCAGACCATGATCTTTGCATATCCCCCGAGTCTATAGTGCACTAGTGTGTGGCCATGTTTAGTGAATGTTCATTGAAGAGAAAAAGGAAATTACAAAATTATTTATTTGAGGAATAACAGTGTGATCATTAACAAAAAGAGGATGACTTCTAGTTAGTGTGCACTGTTCATTTAAACAAAGGGGGGGTTCTTTAATCTGAGCAACACTCTTGTATACCAGAGGAAGTAGTTTTTCAGTAATCAGTAGCAGTTTTTCATCCTATTCTGAAAAGACATCAGTAGGAAGTACAACGGAGAGTGGGATTCCCAGCAGCCAGCTTACCTCCAGTTATGGGAATTTGTATGTCTCAGACTTTTATCAGTGATTTCTAAACTCTGACTAGTAAAATTTTACTTAAGTGTGTTTTACTCATTTCAGTACAAACAGTGGTGCATGGCAATGGACCAAGGAAAAATCCCTTCTGAAATAAAGGCCCTACTCACTGGAGAAGAGCAGAGCAAATCTCAGCAGAACTCAGGCAGGCACATGAAAGCTGGAAAGACAGATGCTAATAGCAATTCCTGTGAGTATAATCCATGGAGAGTTTCTGTTTAGAGGCCTGTCTTAAGGTTTAGCACTCATCCTCAGTGTATCTTTAAATAAAGTGTTGATGGCGTCCACTAATAAGTGAAATGGCATTAAATTCTGCATACCAGAATGCATTATGCAGTCTCTAAAGAGCAGCTTCACTGACTTTGTGGACATTTCTTATTGAGTAGACTTAATCCAGGAATAGGAGTGTATTCTCATAGTTATTGTTAATAATAGCATCTCATGTTTGTATTGTGATTTATGGTTTACCAAAGTACTTTTATTTCATAAAAGATGTTGAGCATCTTTTCATGCTATTTTTGACCATTTGTGTATCTTCTTTGAAGAAATATCTATTTAATCCCAGATTTTAATTGGGTGATTTTTCTTTTGGCTACTGAATTACAAGAGCTCTTTATATATTCTGGATATAAATTGATCAAATACTGATCAGGATTGATCAAATCAGATATTGATAATGATTTGCAAATATCCCTTCTGTAGGATGTCTTTTTGCTTTTTTAGTACTACATAAAAGATTTTTATTCTGATAAAGATCAAATTCTCAAATTGTTTCTTTTGTTATTTAAGCCTTGGGTGTCATATCTAAGAATCTATTACCAAATTTAGTCACGAAGGTTTACACTTATGTTTTTTTTCTGAGACTTATTATTTTAGTTCTTATATATAGGTCATTGATATATTTAGAGTTAATTTTCTATGTAGTATAAAGTAGAGAGCAAATTTAATTATTTTCCATGTGAATATTCAGTTGTCCCAGTACCAAGGTCTGAAGAGACTTTAGAATAAAGATGTGGTATATTGATTTCATCACTGTGACTGTTTTAGGAGCTCTTGAAATAGTTACAAGCTATAAACATTTTTAAAGAAAACTTTTATAGAATTAAAAGCTTGACTTCTTGATAACATTTCTTAAATGAGGTAACATTTGCCTTAAGCTAAATAAAATTCATGATAAAACCAAATCAGCTCATTTTCTTTTGGTCTGTATTTAAAAATAGCCTTCATGGAGAAAACCAAACCTGAAACAAATGCATTTTAAAACAGATTAACCAAATGTCACTGACTTTAAAAACATTCTTATTTGGATGATTTTGATTTATTTTTCAGGGTGAAGATTCTATAAAGTGACGAGTCAGGGGTTGAAGCCAATATTCTGATTCCTATGGAGGATGAATGGGCAAGCTTGCATTGACTCCATTTACTACCTACTGCTCAGTAGTCATCTCTGTCCATCTGCAGTTTCTACCAAATGTGCGATCCTAGATATCAAAGGATTTTGCTTTAACTTTCAACACATAGAAAATTTACTGACTTTTCAGACCTGTTCTAGTTCTTATCGCTGCCCATGGCATTTAACATGTTGCAATGCTTGAAAACACAGGAGTAGCGAAAAATGGTGAAGATTGTATTTTTGCACCTTAACTCCACGTTGCTTTGTTGGTTAATTTATATTCTTTCCATGTAATTCATGTAGTTGTGTGTGTGTGCGCACGCACGCACGCATTTAGATGTCGCCTCCTTTCTTGTCTTGTGTTGCCCTACAAAGAGAAACCAAACAGGCTTATCACTGAGTATAAGTTCTCAGTCTTTATGGACCTAATCTTACCTTTACATTTACTTGAGTAATGTTTATTTTCTGCATGAACCATGATTTCTCCTGTGAGCCATTCCAGCATAAGCTGTGAATATATATTAACAAATATATACATTTCTATTTTTATAATCCATACTGATATGACTGTTTTAAAAAAAAGTACATGTTAACAAAATCCATCAGAAAAACCCTCACGGCAGCCTCATATTTAAAACATTTGTTGCTGTCTTCTCAAACTATATTTATAAAAGTTTGCTAGGACCTAACTCATACTTGGAGAATAGGCAAATTTTATTTTTAAGCAAGAAGTAACTTTTTAGGCATTTCAGCTGCATATGTCACCTTGACAGCCCAGCGTATGTCTGTGTGTACGTGTTCCTATTGTATGTCTCTACATGTATGTGGGGAGGGCAGGAGTGAATGTTCACACACATTTCTTTGTGTACTCAACTAACTTAAAGAATTTTTTTAAAGAAAATAGAATGAAACTAGCTGCTGAGATCGAGTTTCAGCCTCAAGAGATCTGGAACAAAATGAGGGGTAAACTGCTGGTAGATTTAATGGCTGTAGCCATAACCGGAACACTTAGTTTCTTCCCTGCCATGTTTCTTCCTCAGAAGGTGTTCTGAGCCAGAAAAAGAAATGGTGTCATGTGCATCTGCGTCAGCACAGCCATGCCGGCAGCGTGAGGGAGGCACAGGAGCTAGAGCCACACACGAGGCCACGAGAAGGTGCCGAGTGCACCTCCGTTCCCTTCATAGCTGCCTTACTTCCTCCCTGGCTGGCCAGTGGCATGATGGTTGAGAAATCAAGCTCCTAATATGACACACTCAGATAGGCCGAGGAATCTTTTGATTTCCCATTGGACACTTCTCTTTCCCATAGTTAGATCAGGAGTCATATTCTCCATGGCTGCTACATTATAATTGTTCATTGGTCGAAGGAAACAAAATATTTGGCTTCCAAACCAAGTAAGTTCTGTTCTAAAAGGCAGTCTGAGAGGAGGTGTCATACTCTAGCTTGTCTGTGAGGTGACACGTGAGCTGGACCATATAATTTCAGATGACAAGGTACTTTCCCCTTTCTCCTAGGCCACACGTTTGAATAAAGTGCCTCCCTTCACCTGCGTTCCTAAAGATCTCTTGTGTGTAGGTAGCAAACTCAGATCTCTAGTCTAGTCCTGTGTGACTACTGATATACCACTAGCCCAGCTTGTTGGGTTTCTCTGTATTTTGGAGGACTGGGGATTTACGAGTATTTAATGTCTTTTTAGGATCACAAATATCAATAGATTAAGGATTGTTGATATTCAGGCCTTCGGAATTTAAGTGTTTTAAATATAGTGTTCAGATTGTAATGGGTATGTTTTTGCCATCTGGTCTACTCAAATGTATATTTTTATTTTACAAAACAACCCAAAACTTACTCTATGTTGCTTTGTGCAGGACCTTTTGAATTCCGGAGAGTTGTTTTCAAAGCAAACATTCCAAACGAATGTGGCTCTTCAATGGAACGTCTCCATTGTGCTTGAAGTATTTCTTCTCTGGTTGTAATTTTAAACACAGGGTCACTCAAGCTTCCTTCTCTCCCCTCATTACTTTTATTAAGAACAGTGACAGTAGAGGACTTGTTATTTTGGGTGAAAGTAAATTAAAATTTATTTTCGTTTATTCCTAAATCTATCTGTGTTTGATATTCTGGAGTAGATCAAATCAAGCAAAAGCAGGTCTCAACAAGGAAGATTTTGAATGCTTTGGGGTTTGTGCCAGCTGCTCACTTTGGCTACTTGAAGCATGTGTATGTCACTGGTTAAAGCAGCTGGAGCATTTCTTTCCCCATTCCAGAGCAGCAGCCAGCAGGGGCAGAGTCTAGCATCTCTGCCTTACCTGTAATAATGGCCAGTGGACTGAGTGAGAGCAGAGAGCTTGAGAGTGAGCTCAGGCCCTCTAGATCCGTGCTGTTCTCCTTGCCCTATGCAAATGGAGGGGTAGTTTTCTTTTTTTCCCCAAAGAAGAAAGGAAAGGGGGAAATTATCTGTGTATTTAGACCATCATACTCTGTCATTAATTTAGATAGACCTGCTGTGTATTAGAGCAACTGAACAGAATATGGAATAAGTTTGACAAGTCAAATTTTAAGATGTAGTTGAAGTTCTTAATTTTTTTCCTATTTTATCTAAAACCTTTCTATTATTTCTAAATCAGAATCTATCTTATTACAGCAAATTCGTATCACTGTTTGCCAGCTAATTGACAGTATTTATCAACAGCACTGTTTATCATTTTATTTTATCATCTTTGAATTGTGAGCCTTGATATGACTTGCTACAAAAAGCATAGGTTTAATTTGGGCTGACCTTTAGTTTAAGCAGGGGCAAAGAAAACTGAAAAACAGGAATGCTCTATTTCACAAGAAATCAGTTGCATATAATCAATTACATATTCAGTTAAAGAGAAGATTACTGTTAAACCACATGGTATTTGGGGGGCATTGATGGAATTTCTGTTTCTGAAGAGCATTGTACAATTATATTTTTATGAAAATAAAATATGTCTTCACCAGAGAGATCTCAGTTTGTCTGTCTCACAGTAATGAAATAGCATCAGTAGTAAAAGGAGTGTAAGATACAGACAGAAGAATAGGTCTTGAGTTCATTTTCTGAGTCACCTTGAATTACTTAATCTTTCAGTCTGTTTCTTCATCTTATAAAAAGGGGAAGGATAACTTTGACAGAGTAACTGGTAGGCCAAATAAAAGCTATGAGGAACTACTCCTAAATACAATATAATGCATAAAGAGGTCTAATGAGCTGGAAATCTAAATATGCAGTATTTTAAGTATCATGTTCCCAGTATTTAGCTGTATCATGTCTATTCCTGGAATGGTATAGTCGAAGGCTCTTTTTTTGCAAAATAGCTTTCTATTAATTAAGCTAATTTTAAGAACAGTGTTCCAACTGGCAACAATCCTACAATCTGCATAAAACAGGTTGTCAAGCGGCTTAGTAACTAGGTTCTCTTTTTTCCCCCCAATTCTGACATTTGACATAACTATAGCACAATCATGAAGCAGAGCCAGGATGGCCTTGAAGATCACATGAGTTGTACACGGCATAAAGACCCCTAGTCGAGGGGGCGAGCGGTCTAGCAGCCACTCAACAGCCAATGTGGCAGAAAGGGTCCCTGCACCTGCATTCCGGAGCGCAGGTGTGGCGGGAGCGGGTCTGCGCAGAGATGTGCTTTTCTGCTAATTTGCCCCAAACTGGTACCCTGCTTAACTCCTCCACCCCTCGTTTCCTTGGGTGCTGCAGCTGGCTTCTGGCTTTCCCCAGAGGAAAGCCACTTATGTGCCAGGCATCAGGTTGATAGATGTTAATCAGCAATGATGGGAGTAAAATCAGGTCCTCAAATAACATTCTGTTATAAAGTGAGAAAAAGAAACAAGCAATTCCCAGTGGGGGCCATAGTGTCAAGAAGTTGGCACATTCTTCAAATGTCTGTGTGGGTTTTCTCTGGGAACTGCAGTTTCCTCCATCACAAAGATGTGTGTATGAGGTTCACGGGCAGGTCTTATTTCCGTGTGGTGTGGGGGTGGTGTGCATGTGCACAAGTACCCAGGCTTATCCTCCCTGTAATGAAAGGGCATCCATCCTGGCTAAGGGTGGGTCCCTGGGAGCTGCTGGGGGAAGCCCCGGCCATCCACAGCCCTGAACTACAATACACATGCTAGAAAATGAACGAACACCAATTTTTGTTGTAATTTTTGTGTGAATACGAATAACTGGTCTTCATTTAGAAGGTTGGTGATGCTTTGTGGCCAGAGATGTGCTGTAGAAACTTAACTCTTATTTACATCAATATGCCTATGGTCAAATTGTTTTCGTTAGTAGCTTTGTTTAGAACCACAATTTCTAATAATTTATTGACCACATTAAGTGAGGGCTTATGTAAGTATTGTTTACCCCATAAAAATCAGTAAATGCAGCGAATCAGGGATTCCTCTCCCCGAGTCAATTTCTAGGATACCTCTGAAAAATGTCTAGTGTAAACTTGAAGGGTCATGATCAGAGCAGGCACATTTGAGACCCACAAATATATAATTGGGTTGGGGACACAGAGTTAGAAAGAATCTTTTTATAAATCTGTAAGTAGGGGCCCTCCCTGGTGGTGCAGCAGGTTAAAGCACAGCATTGCAAGCTAGTCCAACTGCTTCAGTGCGAGTTTGATCCCAAGCACTGGAGGTGATCCACCTGGCACAGCAGACCTCTCCAGACCTGCCCGCTGCCCCCCTCAGCAGTGTACTTCATCACTCTGCCTGTTCTGCTTCCCACTCAGTCTCCGGTGAATCCTCTCACCACCCCTGCACCTCTGGCCTGCACCCCAGTTCTCTATGCATAAATAAATAAATCTTTAAAAAAAAAAAGAGCTGTAAGTAGCTTGGAGATATATCAAATTAAAGTGAGTTCACAAAATAGCTAATAGCTGTGACTCAGAAACTGTTATGGTCACAGAGAAATATTCAGCCTCACTCTAGAAACTATGGGGAAATCTGCTGGATTCTTAAGGCAAATCCTGGAGTCAAAGCAGACACAATAATGCACCCACTGTGTTGTGATATAGTATTCTGATACTGCTGGGCTGCAGGCTAGCTGCAAGCTCTGGCTCCGAGGCCATTTTGAGGCTGCAGTAGAATACATAGGTGAGCAGGAAGAATTTCCTGTGGCCTGGCAGAACCCAACCCAGTCCTGTCATGCCTAAGCACCCCCTTCCTGAGAAGGAGTTGACAGACCCAAACCTTGACAGATGCAAGTCGGTGGTTGGTGTGACAACTGGTACCCATCCTGGGTAGGCCTGGGTAGCCCAGACCCAAACAGGCCATCCCATGCCCTCACTGACTTTTGGACTCTGCCAGTTCAATGGAATGGAGGTCATGCCTGCCAACAGCATAAGTAAAGTAGGCCCAGGATATGTGGAAATAAATAATAATGGTTCTCAAACCTCAGGCCAGGACAGCCCTGGGCCCCAAGTACCACACAACAAGAGAGCATGGAGAAAGGAAGAACACTCCACCTCCACCTCCAAACCCCCTAAAAAAAAAAAAAGAAAAGAAAAGATGGTCAAGTCTTTTCCCAGACAGAGGATTGCCATAGGGAGCCAATGGAGGATGAAAGCTGACAAGATCTCCTCCCTGTGGGACGCGCCCCTTCGTTTGCCGTTCCAGGCCAAAAGGGATATGAAAAGGCTCGGAGCCTTTTCAGCAGGGTGAGTAAGAACTATGCATGGCAATAGCCGATAACTATTGGTTCAAAACTGAACTATGGTAGCTCTACTGCTGGACAGGGCAGAGTAAAGGGGGCTTGAAGGATTGGGGTAGAGCCTTGAGTATCACTCAGCTCACAGAACCACAAAAAGAAAGGAGATGTTGCTCATGCAGATGGTAAAATGATGCCCAGACAGATAAACTTGCAGGATGTCAGCCACACGTGAAGTGTGAGCGAGGGTCCTTTCAAATGCATCGCAAAGTCACTTTAAGTTCACTACTTTCATACAACTTAATGTTTCATAGCTCACTAACAACATCATTATGCTCCTGGAGTAACATGAACATCAAGCTGCCCTGTGTCCATTTGCACCAGGTAAAGTGAAACTCGTCTTTCTTTTTATATGTGCCAAGGGCATTTTGAGTAAACATGGATCTTAGGAACAAATTGTTGAGTAAAGAGAAGTAACCAGTTGTGCTGGTAGATGTTTAACAACTAACTCTTGGCTAGGCAAGACTTGATTTATAGTATTTGCCAATTTCTGGGTGGAGATATTACCACCACGGTTGATTTTGAGCTACTGTGTGCTCCACCAGCAGCCAAAATTTTGCAAGTTTAGAACTTTGTTCTGGCAAACACGTATGAGCTAATCTCTACCACTGCATAAACTATACATAGTATGAGAATGGGAGATTTCGAGTCTTTCAGCAGCAAATAAAGAAAACTTGACTAAACTGGCACAAACAGTAAAGACCTGCTCCATCTCATATAATGGGAGTGAAAGCTCCAGCCATCAACAATGTCATTAAATCCCCAGAATATTTTCTTGGGCTGCCTATCACCTTCTAAAGAAGAACAGCTTGTATAAATTATCCTAAGCAGGTGGGCTCATATCCCCTCATGGTTGTAAAGTGGCTGACACAGCTCCAGCCATCACTCTGAGAGGAGAGATGGCTTTTAGGAAGTGATCCAGCAAAGGCACCGCTGAAGATTTTACCCCAGAGCTCATTACAAATGACTGACTTTTGGAGACCTCCCTAAGTTCCAATCAAGGTGACTTTGGAAGAACCTCAGGAAATCAAATTAGGATCTGATAGAACCAATTATGGAGAATCTATGACTAAACTCAAATGTGTCAGAAGGTGGAGTTCATTCACTATTCCTCAGGAGAAAGAAAATGGTTACAGTGGACAAAGCCTCATGGAACATAATTAGGGCATGGTGGTTTCTAGGTTCCAGGCGAAAGTGATTGGTTTATGGAGGAGACCATGACCCAGCAGCCCAGTCAGAATCAAGGAGACTTAATGCTGCAACTTCTATGAGCTCTCAGGGTAGCAAATTTGCTTTCCTGCTTGAAATTTGAAAAACTGTTAACGGCTTTAGTCCTGCTGCTCCCATTCATTCCCACTGAAGGGAAGCCAGTGTGAGGCAGAGCTGGAAGAAGCCTCTCTCGTTCCAGTTGTCACCAGTACAATAATGCCTGAAGCTCTACCCCTAAGTTCGCAGCTTAGGGGTTAGTCCATTCCTTCTTTTTTGCCAATTTGAGGCTGTCACTTATGATCAAATGTGACTGAACTGGTAAAAACAATTCACTACTAACACAGGCAAAAGGACATTGTTGTGCCAGCAAGCACAGGACAGGTTCACCATCGATCCAAGCACACAAATAAAGAGAGTCCTGGAATTCCTCAGTGGATTTTTCAGGCTTTAATGCTCTCTCAGGGACCCAGGGACCCAGGTACACAGGCACGCCAGGCAGGGAGGCTGGCATACGAGGATGCAGACACAGACTGGGCAGCGGGGGTGGGAGGCAGGCTGGCCGCTGAGCTTCCCAGCTCCCCAATAACCTTTACTCTTTCTGGGCTCTCTCTGGCTTTCTCTCATGGTCTTGCCTCTTCTGTGGTCACTCTCATAGCTGTCCACCTGTCGCAAAATGATGCTGCCCCTATTGCCCTGGCCTCTAAAGCTCAGGTGTGCCCATTAGATTTAGGCACATCAGGCAAGAATGCCCAGTGCCCACTCCCCTAAGCACCTTGTGCATTAACACAGACAAGGCTGCAGGTGGCAGCCATAGAGGCTAGTGGCCTAAAAAGCCCAATTTATCCCATTTACCCTATAGACATGAAAAGAAAATTGCTTTTAAATACCACAAAAGTAATTCAACCTCATAAGTAAATAAGTGTATATTGAAACATTAATATATCTGAATAAAGATCAAGTTAATAAAGGTTGAACTGGTAGATACTAAGGGGGAAACAGTTATGCTTATAACACTGTGGGTGGGAGATGAATCCAGCTGCCAT